AACGTCGGGAGCTCGGCGGCGGCGGCAGTTGAGGCGTCGGCAGCGGGGCTGTCGTCCTTGAGTACCTTCTGCTCATCGGCATAGGCGTTGCCTACCAGCAGCGCTGCGCTGGCAGCAGCAGCAGCGACGTTGAACCTCATTATGAAGGCGGAGCGCTGTCTCAAGCAGCTCTGCGATCGCGGTGCAAATGGGGTGCGAAGAAGTGGAAGAAGACTAGAGCAAGTCGTCTACGGAGACAGACGAGACGTATTTATCGGGCAATGGATGGCACTCCCAAAGCTCGAGGAAAAGGGGAAGTAGGGTCGACGGTTGAGGGGGGAAAAAGTGGTGAATTTGAAGTTCAGCAAGTGCAATCGGACAACGTGTCTTTAACGAAATTCCGTTTACTGAGCTCGAGCTCGGGGCTTGGCCTGCTCGCTCCAAGAGCGGGACCAGCTTTTGCGGGGGCAGTTTGGCGCGGCGGCTGGATGGGGCACAGCCAGGAGCAACCAGCCAAGCTGTCCTCTACCTTAGCTGTGTGGCCTCAGCGGAAGGCCTTCGAAACTTCCATCCCGTCCATTGGCGCGCCGGAACTACTATCCGTCTATCACTTATGCTAAGCACCCCGTACCAATATTGTAGCAATATCAAGCGAGCCACATCTCCTCTCGATGCATGTGCTTTAACCACCTGTTCACTTGGACCCTTGTGATGATTTCATCGCACCTGCTGAGTTTTGTTTCTGTTGGTTCACTCAGGGTCCTGGGGGTTCCCAGCAATTGACGCTCCAAGACATTGGGTTGACAGCGGCGAGCCGAGAGGTGGGGCTACCCACTTTGTTAGGTTCCCCAAGCACGGGTCTCATGTCGAGAGTCAAGACCTTCAACGTCGCCAAATCTCGACGACACAACGGCTGAGCGGCAGCTCTATCATCTCAAATCTTCCGATAGCTCGGGGGTCTTGGAATTCATGGCCATTTAGATGATTCACTGTCGAAACATAGCTGTTCACATCGGCTGGCCTGATTGAGTTACTGCAGGGTGGGTCACAGGTTGCATTGAGAGTTCGGTTTCACAAGGCTACAGAGTGCCCTCCTTCCGTTGTTGAATACCGATCATCGGGTGAATGTTAGGCACGGTGCTCCAGGCCAATTTCCCATGATCCTCACTGCCCGACGGTCAATTGCTGCATTGAGGTGTTTGCGGTCCACCTGGTCTCGTCTCAGCTCGCTCGTCCAAGTTGCTGGTTCAAGTTGCCTTCCTCAGCTTCCACGTGGAGCAATTGGAAGCTCGAGCTTGGCCAGCTGCTGCTGTGGATAGCCCTGGACTCCCGAGTGGATCCGGTGCCGGGGCAAGCGTGCTATGCGTAAAATCGCCGCTTGGAATCGGAACGACTCCGAGCCCAGCGTGCTTGTCGTCAATTTAGCCTCAAATAGCCTCATTTGCAATTTGACACTGCCGCCCCGTTAAAATCGCGGTAGAAGAGCAGATCGATTCTCGAGCCCCCATCAAACCCCAATTGAACCCAATTGAGCCCCATACCTTCGATACGACCGGGGACACAGCACTCTACCGCCTCTACCGACTTCTACCTGGAAAACCACCTTGGCCTCTCCGGAGCCTTTCTGCACCGCTGCTAGCTCCGCGCGCTTCGGGTGTTTAACCCCGCGACGTCACTATCCCAGCCTTGGTCCCGATAGCGAAATGGCCCCGCCATCCGATGCCCCTGCCCAGCCGGCCGGCGACGCCAGCGACAACACCAACGACCACCTCGTGCAATCCGACAACCCAGAACACCCGGCGAACCTGATCCCCTCGCTGTGCGCCAAGTTCTGGACACTGGGGTGGGTGACGGGCACCGGAGGAGGGGCTTCGATTCGTGACGAGTACGTTGGCCAACCCCTCCACCCCCCATTCCCAAGCTAACGTAGCGCAGTGACCTTGTCTACATTGCGCCCTCGGGCGTGCAGAAGGAGCTGATGAAGCCCGCCGACATCTACGTGCTCTCGCTCGCGGCCCAGGCGAAGTCGCTGGACCGGCGCAGCCGGATGTATCTGCGCAGCCCGGCGCGGTATAAGCCGAGCCAGTGCACGCCGCTCTTCCTGGCGGCCTTCACCAAGCGCAACGCGAGCTGCTGCATCCACACGCACTCGCACTGGGCGGTGCTGGTGACGCTGATCCTCGAGACGCAGGGGCCCGGCAACGACCGCGAGTTCCGCATCAACAACATTGAGCAGATCAAGGGCTTTGGCCGCGGCTTCGACCGCCCCGGCAACCTGGGCTACCACGACACCCTGCGCATCCCCGTCATTGAGAACACGGCGCATGAGGAGGACCTGACCGAGTTCCTCGAGGAGGCCATGGAAAGGTACCCCGACGCCTACGCCGTCCTCGTGCGCCGCCATGGTGTCTATGTCTGGGGCGAGACGGTGCACAAGGCCAAGACGCAGTGCGAGAGCCTGGATTACCTCTTCCAGCTCGCCGTCGAGATGAAGAGGCTGGATCTGCCCTGGATCACAAAGATTGAGCCGGTGAAGCCCACGCGAGCGTAGCCGCTGCCGCGGCCAGCCGAGAGACTTGGCAATCCGAAGATGAAGGGCGTCTCCCTTCTTGATTATTAACTGCTGTGCATATATAAAAATGCCGTCTTGATCCAGTGATTCAATCCATTACCAACCAATACCAGCCATCAACATCCCATTACCCCCATCAAACATAGGCACATCACACCCCTTACATCGCCAAGACCCCAATTAAAAAGCCCAAGAACCCCACCGTCGCCGCACTCCCAAGACCCACACTGGCGCCCGCCGCGCTCGACGAAGTCGTCGCCGCAGCCCCGCCAGTCCCCGTAGCTGCCCCGCCGTTGGTGCCGGTGGGGCTAGCACCACCAGAACCAGAACCCGAGCCCGAAGGGGCTACGTTGTCCGTGTTGGGCGACCCGGCCGCGGCAGTGCCCTGTGGCGCACCTGCTGTGGTGTAGTAGTACTTGCCGATACATCCATCGACGCAATTCTGGTAGTTGAGGTTGTCGGTGGCGGTGCCGCTGCCCTTGGGGCACGCCGCGACACACTTGTTGGTGGCGTCGACCTGGTTTTCATGTCAGCAAACTGTTGTTTTCCAGCGGTAGGGGTATTTGTTGGATTGTGGAGGGGATCGGGCCGCTACATACATCGGAGGTGTTGGGGTTAGGGACCGAGATGCACTTGGCCGTGCATGAGACGTCGCCGGCCGTGCAGGCGTCGAGACAGGCGAGGATGGCGGCTTGCTCCGAGTTTGCTGCGTTCGCGGCCGTGTTGGTCGCTGTCGCAGGTGTCGTGGTCTGCGCAGTCGCTAAGGCGGCGAGGGCACCGAGGAGGAAGAGGGTGGAACGCATTGTGGGCGGGTTGAGATCACGGTGGAGAATGTGGTCTGTAAAGGGGGGTTCGTTCGTGGTGATGGCTCAGCGAGTGTATAGAAAGATTCGTACCACAAACAGAGAGGCTAGTTAACGAGTGTAACGCTGACAGCGAGGAGGGGATGAGAGAGAGGAGGGGACTTCTGAGGGAGAAGGGAGAGAAGAAAGATGGGGGAGTGCGATTCAATGTATGCAATGGAGGCGTTCTATGTATGTACACTACACACAAATATCACCACGCCAGCGATCCGGCGCAGCTGTAACCCACATTCCTCGGCACACGCTGTCGTTTCGTTAGCCTCTCTCTCCCTCGCTCACCGGCCCCGAGCACACGAGGATCCCTTCTCGCGCGCCTGTAACCGGGGGTGATGTGTCCTGGGTCCCTGGGTGGGTGACCTCGAGACATGGCGCCAGCAGGGGTTTCTGGGGTCAGGCACTCTCCAGATTTTGTCTTTTTTTTCTTCTTTTTCTTTTCTGTTTGCCTCGCATGTTGCGCATCTCCCTGGTCCCACTCGCTGTGACCATTCGGCGCTCGGAAGCTTTGGAGAACCTTCTTGGTGGGCGCGCTGTGCGTGCGTCCAAAGCCACACGAGTCCTCCCTTTTTTCCCATCTAATTTCTGGAGGGCAGGGCAGCGACAGCGAGCCAGAGGCCCAAGAAACGACTCCAAGACAGATGCATTCCCGGCATTTACCTTGCCTGATTTGGCATCCGATCTGTCCGGGCACCAATCAGCAGGCCGCAATGCGCATCAGGCTTGACATCCCCGGATTTTCTCGCCAGCCTGTTTCCCTGTCACCTCAGTTGATTGAGTGAAACTAATACATTGCACCTCTTTTTACGCTACACAATTACTATTCTGGTGGCGTCAAGCGTGGCATGCCACGAGCATGGCAGCCAAACTTTGGACGAATATCACGCGCGCTAGCAATAATACGTCTACAAACAACATGCGGGGCACAGGTATGGCTCGGGTATGTGTCGCCAATGGCTTCGCTCGGGACCCTGGAGGCAACTGAGCAACTTCCATGGCGTGGCAGACACGAACGCTTTGCGTGCAGGTGCGACCAGGAAAACCCGAGCTGGGGAAACCCAAATGAACCCGGCCCAGTGGCTGCTGTCGAGGCCTTGGGGTTGCAAATTTTCATTCTGCAAGAGCACCTTATCAGGGCCAACAGGAATGCAAATGTCAGCGCTGCCCGGCAGCTAAAGTCAAGGGCCCGGGGGGCGGCCTGAGCTCCGGGTCGAGTGTCTCGCGCTCAAGCGTTCTATATCCACCAACTTCAAAGCGCCACGCCTGCTACGATACCAGCCCAGTGCGTGCGTCTTTGGCCGACATCGACACGGCTCTCCAATAACAAGCATGGTCCAGCGAAGCATTGAAATTCTTGATGCGGGCCATCTCACAGATATTCGCAAAACAACTTCAGGATCCACACCTGAGTCCTGAGCCCTGACACACAAGGTACGTCACACAATAGCTTCTCTTCCCAAAAACAGATCGTCCCATACTGCATGATCAACACCTGAGAACAGCTCAAGGAATGGAGATACCATTCCATACACCCACAACAACACGAAGAACAAAACAGCAGGCCAGCAGAAAGCAATGCAAAAATATATCATCGACGCGGGCCGGATTTGAACCGACGCTCCCGAAAGAACAAGATTTCTAGTCTTGCGCATTAGACCACTCTGCCACCGCGCCTATCTGATGATTCTGCTCGACTGAGCTGCAGAAGTTGCTCTGCTAGTTTTGTCTGCCTGGATTCTGGCGGGAAACAATAAACAACATGTTCCGGAATACAATTTCAAACACCCCGGGCCAAGGCATGGTCCGGACTCCGCCGGCTTTCCATAACCCAGGTCCACCATCTGCTTCCTTCTAATGCTAAACACCATATATGCTAATTAAGTCAGGCAGCATGAACTTCATTGAAAAGAATGCGAGCTGCATGCGCGCATGCGCTACCAACTTTCAAATACGCAACCTCAGCATGATCTTCTCAAGCCCCTCCATCCTGTCGACTTCTTTGGTCCCCCTCTTCAATACTCCACTGAGCACCACCTTCCTTGGGGACTCCCTCTCCCGACCCGTCAATGCATCAGTGACGGTATCCCGAATCTCCTCACTATTCAGCCCGTCCAGGCTGCTCAGCGGTGACACTTCCCAGACACAGCTAATCGGGCTAGTCTCGCCGACACACGGCTTATTTACGCGGTCAACAAGCCGCCGCTCCCAGTCGGGGGAGAACTTGACGTTCGCCTTCCTCGCCAGCCAGAGCATGTGGTGCGTCAGCAGGACACACAGCTGCGCCTTGACGGCATCGCACACGCCCACGTTGGGCGTCAACGACTCCTGCGTGAAGACCAGCTGGTCGGTCGGGGACTCGCTGAGCCTAAGACAAATGATGGCTCCGAGGGCCACGAGAAAAATCCCCTTGGCCGTGGCGTCCGGGGGTCCTGTGGTAGCACGGGGGTGGTTGCGCAGTGTGTCGTCCAACGCGTTGAGAAACCGGTCGCCGGCCTGGGTCACGCGCTGCTCGAGCATGGCCTTCGTCCACGGCAGGTAGAGGCCGGCGCAGGCGGAGTGGTGACGGGGGTCCCACGAGTTAACGTCATAAAAATAGAGGGACATGCAGTCCCGAAGCATCGTTTGGAAGTCTGTTATCAACTGGCGACATAGGGCGTGCTGCACGAGGCGGGCGAATTTTGGAGAGCAGAGGATGCTGGCTTGGATGACGGTGTCGTCGGCGGTGCAGTGCTGCGAAACAAGCCGGTCCATGGACGACTTAAAGATGTCGTCGATGGTGAAATCAGCGCCGAAATCAAACTCGATACCTCCCACAGATCGCCTTTGCCCAGAGCAATTACCCTCCAACAGTCCTTGTTGACCAGCGGGCATTTCTGCACTTAACATCAGCCTCGAGCCACTAACAGCCCACTTGCGAAGAGACCAACTAGACGAAAAGAAGTTCATATCCCTGATGCTGACGCGGATACAGTCAATGTAAAAGAGCGTCTTCTTCTCCATGCGGAAATCGGGCATCGAAGCAAGCTTCAGACAGGCCGTACAGGGCTCGGTCTGCGAACACTGCCAAACACACGCCAGTCAGAATGAGAGAAAACAACAAAAAAGAACTGACTCTGATTTCGAGTAGTCCTCAAATCAACCAATACACACTGGGATCCTCAGTAACCTGCACCGCAGGCACGCCCCCCTCTCGCGCACGCCGCGGATCTCCTGGCGCCGCGTCTGGCCGAAGCGCTTCCGTGCGCGCCCCTGCGACGGCTTGTTGGGGTTGGCGGCGAACTTGATGATCTTGCCGGCGGACTCGTCGGCGCTGCCGAAGCAGATGTAGCCGGGAGCTTCGGGCATCTCACTCGCGGACTCGGCGCTATGTGGGGCGGAATGAGGATGTGTTGATGACGGGAACTTGACGGTGAGGTAGAGCTGGCGGCGGGGCCGCAATTTAAATCGTACAGATACTAAAACACCAAAATGGGCGACCAAACAGCCATCGTCAACAGGCTTTTTTTTTTTTTGCTAGCTTTATATATGGATACTAGTATTCGCGGGTGGCGGTGCGCATCCTGAAGCCCATCGAACGTCTAATACGGGGTCTTAAAAATGGTCTTGGCGGTGATAGATTCGAAGGATCGGATAACAACACATCTGGTCAGACTGTTGGCTCAATGAGCCGATCTTTCTCCTCCTGCTAAGCCTTGCACGGTCGCAGCCTAATAGGTCCCCATTTCCACCGTTTGGGAGGGGAGACACACACTGCTTCATTTGAAACTCGCCTTCAGCTCCCAGCGCCCAGAGGGCCTATATCAAGATACTAACACGAGTAATAGCACAGCCCGCCGGCAAACAAGCCACCCGACGCCTTGGGGCCCCTCAGCTTTTGCTCCCTTGACGCAGCCCTAATACGCCCCCAGATTATACCTCCGCAAAACGGGCAAATCGCCGGGGTCGAGACGGACAATCCCGTCTCCCGCCCTTACAAATACAAAGTACCGCACATACAAACCCCAAGATAGCTGCTGCTGCTGCTGCTGGGTACTGCTACCCCCGTCCAATGGCTGGGAGGGTCGGTTGCCCGTCGCGAATGGTGCGCCGCAACGTGGTCAGGTCCTCCTCGATACGCAAAGGTTTACGCGGCTCAAACATCCCAAGAGCTCATCCGTCGCACCTCTAGGCCACCCACGACCTACCGATGGCGCTCTCGCGACGATGACACAAGTAAGGGACTGCAAGGCTGCTGGTAAAGCCCTCAAAACCCGACCCGGCGATACCATAGGTTGCACGCCATGCTGACACATGTCAGCACTCTAATCCCCGCCTCGACCAACGCAGGGCAGGTAAACAACCTCTCCTGAACTCCTTTTAGACACAAAAACGCACAGTGGGTTGATTCAACTTGTTGCTTATTTTTGTTGTATTTGTTATATCCATCGCCACAAGGCGTCAGGCGCAAGGCACAAAGGCGACCTCCCGCACCACTAGTCTACCAAGGAATCGGCCCCTCTTTGTTCGAGTACGTCCCGTTCTCTCCATCGATACCCAGTGTCGCGAGGCGGACCGCATTGATGGCGCCAAACGAGGGATCATCGGTTCCCTGGTAGTTGTTTAGGTTCGTAGCGCAGTAGCCCGGGCAAGTGAGGCTGATTTTCCAGCTGGGGTCCTTCTCGAGCCGCGCGATGTAGTGCAGCGTCAACATGTTCAGCGCGGCCTTGGAGGTGGCATACGGCGGGACGTCGAGGCTGTGATGCCAATTCTTGGGGTCGGCCTTGTACGCCTCGCTACCCATGGTGGACGAGAGCATGACGATTCGCTTAGTCGGCGCCTGGGATTTCTCGAGAAGCGGGATAAATGTGTCGGTGACCTGCGCAACACCGAACACGTTGGTGTTGAAGACGGCCTGCCATCCCGCTCGGCCCTCGACTCCCTTGGGCGGGAAGCCGAGGGCGGCGTTGTTGATGAGCACATCGAGACGGCCGTGCTTCTCCTCGACCGCCTTGGCTGCGGTGGTGATGGACTCATCCGAGTCTTGGTTAAGCAAGAGGCCCTCGACCGCCAGGCCGAGGGCCATGAGCTTGGCTACGGCCTCGTCAATAGCCTCCTTGCGGCGGCCCGCGAGAATGACATGGTAGTCTTTGTGCTCAGTGCTGAGCTTCTTGGCGATCTCAAAGCCGATGCCTTGGTTGGCTCCCGTGACGAGGGTGATATGGGTGTAGGGGGCGGACATGGTGCAAGAATAAAGGCGTTTTTTTTTTTTTTGATATGTGTAAAGAATATGCTGGCACCTGTTGGATGAAGAAAACACAACATGAATTTTGCCGGTCGGCGGGTGTGCCTTATATGCCAGCACCAGCATTGGTGATGTATCACTCCCGCGGGTCTTAGCTGTCGGCTGTCTTGGTCGGGAGAAGTGTTAAGTCCGGTGGGCCCGCTTCTTTTGGATTAGCGACCATTCATCCCCGGACTTGCAATCTTATCGGATCCTGATGCTTGGTAATGCTAAACCACGAGAGGGGGGTCGATTCGAGAGTCACAGTCCTGGTTGGAGTCCGAGGCGTGGCCATCCGGTCCGAGCCAGCGGGTTTCGGGCTGTCTCCACGAGTGTCCCGGGCGGGTTACGGGCTCTCCCTAAGCTTGCCGTGCGGGTTACGGGTGCGCGACACGCCGCACCTACGGCACGCTTATAAACCACTGCTTTACCCGTCGCTAGATGGTTCCAGCGCATCTATACCAGTTCAGCATTACCAAGCTGTACAAGGGGTTTCGCGTCGGCCCAGCGAAGTATCACGATGTCGCTCTCCTCCATCTCCAGCCTCCCGTCAGAATCGACACCACGGCCCTCCACTAATGTGTCCCGGAGCAGACGAATGAACACGGCCGACTCGAGATCGGGCGTGTCAATCATGCTGATGTTACCGGCCGTGTCGTTGAGGTTCTGCAAGCCCGGTGGAAAGGACGAGAGGAAAGACGAGAGGTAGTGGTTGTGCAGCAGAGCCTGGTGGCGCGTTGCATAGGCCAGCTCCATCTCGGACAGGCGCGACCGCAGCTCATCACTCGAGAGGTAGTGCAGCGTGTGGCGGTCGATTTTGGCGATGCGGGCGCGTAGGTAGCTGCGGACGAGGTACTTGAAGCGCTCCAGCTCGGTCTGGATGACGATGAGGGCGAAGTTGGTCTTGGGGTCCATGTCGCCCGTCATCTCCTCGACCTTTTCGATCTGGCGCCTAATGCTGTTATTGATGCGTTCGAAGAGGCCGTCTGATGGCCAGCTGCGGGTTAGGGGGTCATCGTTAGTGCATATTCGCCCAGAACGCGCCAACGTACCGGCAGCGAGTTGAAGTAGTGTTTGCATACTGGAGGAGCTCGGGGGCAGATCGCTCGGCGACCCAGGCACGGGTCAAGTCTTGGAGATCCCGCTTCTCCCGCGGGATTGTGTGAATGACGGGGTCGACGTCGCGTAGGATGTCGTCGATATCCATATTGGGAGCTGCACCAGAGATAATTAAGACTGAAACGACGTTGTGTTTTGTTTCTCGGGAATTTGCATAGCTGGGGCGGCGGGGTTACAGAGGATTCAGTTTGTTGACTTTGGTTTCTCGACAACATTTTCTCACCAGCCCATGCATCGATCGCGCAACTGATGCGGGGCACCTTGCGACTCGCGACTGCCAATAACGTGGGGGACA